ATAAAAATATGTAACATAATAATTAAGGCTAATGCCTTTTTCTCATTTAAGATATGAATTTTTTTGTTACCTATTTTGGAGTCAATCTAGTAAAAAATATATAGTAATAAGGCACAATTTTTTTTAATTAGAATTGAAATCAAACATTCTATGAATAATTTCATTTAGTAGAAATAAATTTTATAAAATTCAACTTATAGGAAAAATTTTAATCTCTCCATACACTTAATAAGTTATTTTTAACTAAAAGTGAAAGTTTTCAAATTAAATATCAATCGAACACGAATCAAAATAACACTATACGACAACATGAAAATAAATAGATTGAACTAATATTGAAGTAATTATGAAATAATATATGATACACACACCTAATTGGTCAAAATTGGAGGCCCGAGGCGACCGCCTTGGTCGCCTCACCTCAGGGCCAGCCCTGTCTCTTGGACCGTATTTGATACAGGACAAGTAGTTGAGAAGTTTCTTTGAATAAATGGAGCATCAGAAGTCCATAAGGATTGATGCATTTATACAACTATGAAATAATCAATTTATACTTGAGTTAGGGACAACGGAACCACTAGGCTGCTGAGGCAACCGCCGTATGCCTAAATGTGTTACGGTCCTTATGTCAATAACTAACTTCCGATATTTTGAGATTGATGCTGGTTAATTTGTTAGTAGTTGATGGTTGAGCTAGCCCTCTCAATAACTAACTTCCGATATTTTGAGATTGTAAATTTCAGATCTGTAGCTCTTGTATCCCAATTTAGGAATTCTTCTCTCTAAAAATTCAATTATCTTTTGATTTTGACTCCATTATTTGGTATAAAGACTCTAATTTCTTAACCTAATTTGTTCCTGATTGATTGGAAGTCACATTTATCAGTCATAGAAGTGTTGATCTCAGTTTCTGTGGTTTACGAGCTCCTTCAGATTACATTAGGAAGTCCAGACCTCCCAATAGGTGTAAAAAAAATGTTTAAAATACCCATTTCCATTGAGTTTAATGACTAAAATACAAATTTTCCGTCGATTTTACTAAACAAAAATATACAGATAGTTTAGATTGAAAACAAATCAACAGATTAAGGTTTAAATTGATAAAATTAAAAATTCAGGATTTATTTCGTTATAAGGCTCAAATCCCGAGCTTTTTTTTTTTCTTATTTGTAATTTCCCCATGTATCAAACAGTAGCAAATAAAATAAACTTCACTAATTGCATCAAATTTAATAATCTACATTCAATAGAAGTATCTTACAAATATTCTAGGGATCGACTTCGCCAAATAAATTCAGGGATTTGACCACCAAGTGAGCAATTCCGCAGTGTTCTGGAGCGATTATTTTGATTAGACTGCCAAAGTTCACATAGAATGAAAGCAGCAGATATAATTTTATTGTGTTAATGAGAGGCTCACAGGTGTGTCAATGACTGATTATTGACAATGGGGAAATCTCTGGGACTTCCAGTTATGTCAGCAAGCTGCCTGAACAAAGAAATGGGAATGGGAATTTAGAACAGCAAGTTGTAATCAAAATAACTTGAGTGAGGAAACAAAATATATGGCCTCAGCCAGGGGTAAAAAATTACAAGATTGTAAGATTCTTCAATGATTGGAACACTCCATGACTAACAGGCCATTCAAAATTGTTCCCCATGAGGTACCTATGAAGATCAAAAGTCGAACATGAAAAATAGGAATCAAACTTCCATGGTGCATACATGGCTAGCTTAATTAGACTAGCTCAACTCAATGCTTACAATTCCTCGATGTCTTTCCATTGGGCTATGAAAGCAGGTATTTGTCCATTGAAGTTATTCCCGCGGACGTCACTACAAAAGATAAATAAATGAACTTAAAGAGATAGTGCTTAGTAACAAGAGTGAAACAAGAAATGTAATATCAACATCCACTTACAAATATGCCATGTTTTTAAGTTGATCAAACGATTGACGCAAATTTCCACTAAAATTATTATTCGGTAGGTACCTGAAATCAGAAGCGATAACACGATTGTTACAACAATACAAGTCATGAAATATACTTCTCTAATTGCAGGTGTTCTTAATCTTCATTATTTTCATTGGTGAAAATTGTTGATTCCAAGAGTTTCCAAATTCCATGTATAGCATTTTTGGGGTACATTTAGAGGCAACATCAAACTTTCAGGATTTTTTAATTTTGTAGGTGGGGTCCAAAGTTTTGGTTGGGTGCTAATATCCCTCAGAGTTTAACCAAATAAGTTTGAAAATTGAATTTATGGCCTGAGTGCCCTCAAAAAAAATAAAAATAAAAAAAATAAATAACTCAAATGAACAAATAGGGTACAAAATACAGAGAAATATTTGTAAATAAATCTATCAGTTTTGTGTCATGTATTTTTTAGATTTCAACAATTTAATAATTTTATTAATCTTTAATATAAGGAATTTTACAAGTAAATGATGTAATAGAATTTGAGAAGGTCTTCTACATTGAGTAAAGAATCAAATATAAAGCAAATAAATATTTATAAAAATTTTAACATTTAGAATTTAAACTGTAGTTCCATATAAATTAATGGATTTGAAGGATATGACCATAATTTGAGAACCATAATTTTGAATTAAGGTGGAAAAACCAGTAAGTCTGTTTACTCTGGTAACCAAATAGGCATCAGAGGGAGGCTTACAGATATCTAAGATTTGTGAGATGCCCTAGCTCATAGGGAAGTTCCCCTGAGAGCTCATTATCAGATAAATCCCTACAAAAATAATAAAAAAATATTGAGAATAGAATAGTTCACTAACAATAAATAAATCACATACGAAATAGGATCAGTAGGGTTTTACAGAGCTATAAGGCTAGAAAGGCTCCCCAGTTGAGATGGTATCTGTCCTGACAATAAATTACCATCTAGATGCCTGTGATTTGTTAACAACAACAACAGAACAATAGACCATCATATTACTATCCGCAACACTACCCAAAAAAACCAATCAATAGTTTAAATTTATTTTACTCATGCACTTATATTTTATCAATTTAATCTCCACCATACAAATAGATTTAAGATAAATTATGAGTTAAAAATGGTGGATTCATGTCATTGATGGATTACTATTATTGTATTAAGAGCTATACTAAAAATTTACCCAAAAACATCAATGTGTGTTCATATTTAGGCGAAGTTTGGAAAGACTAAATAGTACACTTTTTGACTTTTTTTTTGTATTATGTGTAGAAAAACTAGAGAGAAGATTTTGATTGATATGACCTAAAAAAGATAAAAAAATGAAATAAGTGTACTTTTTTAAATTAGCCAAAACTTAGCCTTATTCTACACATGCAAACCCGGGACAGACTTTATTGTTGGGTTAAACCTAATAAAACCTGTGTCAGTTGTGCAGAGAGAGAGAGAGAGAGAGAGAGAGGGGGGAGGGGCGAAGCCGTCACACTTACAACCCTTGTAGAGATGGAAGAGCACCCAATTCTGGCGGGATTGGACCATTAAAATTGTTGTCTTCGAGGTTTCTGCGGAGGGAAAAAAGATGCTTCTTATTGATGCTTGAAAAGAAAATTGATATATGCCTAAGCAAATGACAGAGAAAACAAATATGATATAAAAAAGTTTCGGAGAAATTAAATAAATAAATAAATTAAAAGTTTAATTCTCATAATAAATTAAATTATAAATTTTTAATTTTTTCCAATATAAATCTTAAATTTTTACTGTTATCTCAATCCCAACCATCAGTTTGTTTATGTTAAACAAAACTACTAAAGAAGAGTATTTTAGTATTTATACTAACTATTTTACAATATATGTGGGAAGGATCTATTTGCACCCAAAAATTAGGTTGAAAAAATTTTATTTACACAACCACTAATCCTCTCAGTACATACTATTAACAGATTAAATTTATATTTCAATAATATCCTCAAATGAAAAGATTGTTAAGGACAATATGGGAGTGTATTCTATCCATTCAAAGATTTCATATATAAAAACACAAAATACACTTCACACATTATCATCACCTATAGATATGTAAACATCTAAAATAAAACATCCAAAATATATTAGTTTTGAAGATCTAAGGGGATAAAAACATTGAAATCAATTGGTTTAGGATTTAAGAACATTGAAATTAATTGATTTTAAAGATTTAAGATTTAAGAACATTAAAATCAATTGGTTTTGAAGATTTGCACACCATAAATAACACTGAGATTGTTGATTTCGAATAATACAACAATGAAAAGGTCAGTTTACTATTTAAAGAAATTGCCTATTTGTGGCCACGAGGCCTTACTTGTAGGCAAAATGCCATATGTGTATAATGTTGTTCAAATTGTGAAATTAAATAAATAGATTTATGAAAAAATCAAATTATATACCAAGAACATATACTGATAATTACAATTAAATTTTAACAGAAATACACAAAACAATAAAAGGGTAAAGAGATGAAACCGAAGCCTGCACGGAAGCAGTTTCCTAAAAACAGATTTCGCCGCCTCACGGGTCGAGTGCTTGAGGAATCCAGGCGTCTGTCTCCCAGGATACGACAGTCAAAACCAGCTACGACAGAAGCACTTTCTGTCTAGCTTAGCGAACAAGAACAGTGGCAGCACTCTCTCAATGTAGGAATTTTCTGGCAAACTGACTTGTAAAATGGAAGCAAAAAAATTTCTATATTGAAACTTGATAGGAGGGTCTCAATTTATACATGTAAAGGGGAGAGAAGAAGAGCCTCCAGCCTTTAAGGCTGGTCATTAAAACACCAAGCATCCATACCCCCTTTCCAAAAATATGAAAGTTTGGATGCCCAAATGATTCACACCCTTTAGCCAAGAAAAAGGATTTAAATACTCTTTAAAATCCCATTTATGAATCTAACATCATGAGGCAATTTCTTGACAATTTCTTATTCAAAACCCAATGGTTTTTGGCTCACTTGGACCTAACACAATAAAAGGTTGGGATCCACTTTAATATTTAATTAAAGTCACCACACTTTAATATTAAATTAAAGTCATGAATCCCCCACATGAATAAAAATTGACCGAAAGATTCAACAAACGGACATCGTTCAATAATAACGACTCGAAGAGAGAATACAACGAATTAACCCCGACATCAGAGAATGTAGCTTTTGGCTTTGAACCTCTCCCAGTGAAAACCTATCGAGTTTACTGGCTGATCAGTGAATAAGACATCTTGAACTGCTCTACCGT